AGGATTTGAACTCAGGGGGACCCATGCCATTTCTGTATGCTGTATGGCCTCCATTTGCATTTCAATGTAAATTTTACTATCAGTTTAACAATTTCGTACACACACATACAGGGACACAAACCCAGCTGGGATTTTGATTGACATTGTGCTGAATTTATAGATTAATTCAGAGAGAACAGACATCATATACTTTGTGTTTTCCAAACTTTAATTGGTATTTCTCTCCATTTATTTAAGTCTTCTTTAATTTTTCTAATTGCCTTTCGTGCTTTTCATTGTGAAGCAGCAATCCATGTACCGTAATTCTGATGGCGCTAGGGAGTTCCAGGGGTCAGAATCCTAAGGTGGGAAACTGAGGGATGAGAAGTGCCAAAAGGGACCTACATAAATGTGGGCAGAATAAATGATTAAAGGTCCCACTAAATAAAGCAACAATTCAGGAATTTAAAAATGGACAGTAATAGCTGGGTGTATAACGTATCAGAACGTGTACACAGCAAACAGCCTTGTGCCCTGCCAGCAAGAGAGATGCCAGGAACTCTGGAAGGTATTTGCGTGATGTAATCTACTGTGGACTGTTGATTCAGCAGCAACTTTTCACGAGGAGGAGACTGTGATTATTAACCGAGGCATGACATCTGTCATCTTTAAAAGTGAAGGGCAGGCTAGGCTGAATCCAGGCCCTCCTGCTCTCCCTCTTCCGTAACCTTCTCTAACCTGCTGGCACTTTCTTCAGCAGCCTCACAATTTCCTCAAGACCTTCCTCTTGCCACCACATGCACCTGCCTTATTCTGTATTTCTCCATAGCTCTAGACACAGACCCCAAGCCCTCCTCTCTCCCCATCTCCTCCATTTACTCAGATTTAGGATATTCAAATGCTCAGAGAAAGGGAATGGATAAGGGATCCAATTAGTACACATTAAATGTGTATTAAACAACAGATAGCTAGGTAGATATTTCTCAAATTAGGGTCCAAAGACATAATCCTAGAGGTGTGAGAGGTTCACAGGAATTTGGATAATGAGAGCTAATATTTATCAAGCACTCACCATGTTCCAGGTATTATTTGAAATGCTTTACATGTATTAATTCATTTAGTTTCACTATAGCCCTATAAAGCAGATGCCTTATTTCCATTCAACAGATGAGCAAATTTAACAACATGCCTTTATTCCATCAGATGAGCGTCCGTGAAAGATTAAGTTATCAGCTCAAGGTTATAGAGCTAGTAAATGGAGGAGTGAGGACCCAAACCCAGGAAGTCTGGCTCCAGAGCTAATGACTTTACCTCTTTGCAATGCTGTCATCTGGGTCTTGATTGAGACTGGAGGGGCCAAGATGGCCCCATAAATGTGCCTGGTAGTTAGCTGGGGTTACTGGCTGTTGCCTCCTCCTCCATGTGGTCTTTCTAGCAGGGTACTCCGGAGTTCTATGTATGGCAGCTGAATTCCAAAGGGCAAATGTCACGTGGAGAATTACCTTGATGCAATGGCAGGTTCCAAGTACACCACCACACAGACTCTACCATAGGTCACAGGACAGATGGGCTTATAAACCAAATGAAGACACCTGAATCACACTGTTTATGTGGCAGCTTTAGAACATGTTCCCAAATTCTTTGGCATTGTTCCCATTGAATTCTCTTGAATCTTGGCTGGCTTTAGTAGCTTGCTGGTAGCTAGCAGAGTACAGTAGAAATGATGCTGCATGACTTTTTTTTTTTAATGTATTTATTTATTTGAGAGAGAGAGCATGCACGTGCATGCAGGGGGGAGGGGCAGAGGGAGAGAGAAACTCAGCAGACTCCCCACCGTGTGTGGAGCCTGACACAGGGCTTGATCTCACCACCCTGAGATCAGACCTGAGCTGAAGCCAAGTGATGGACGCTTAACCGACTACAACACACAGGTGCCCCTCTGCATGACTTCTTAGGCTATGTCAGAAAAGGCCATGGGCCTGGTTCTTTTCAGACACCCGCTTTGAGGGAAGCCAGCCAGCAAGGGAGAAGTTCTGCCTTGCTGGAGGGGCTGAATGAAGGTACACCGACCGGTTCACAGTCCCAGCTAAGCATGCAGCTAGCCAATAGCCAGCATCAATCCTTAGCCACATGAATGTGCCATCTTGGGCATCCAGCCAGTAGCTGCAGTTAGCTGACATCTGATTGACATCTTATAAGAGACTCTAACAATGAGCTGCCTAGCAAGGGGAAAGATAAACCAGCTTAGGATAGCAAGGTGGAAGACCACAGTATCTGAATTTTGTTTTACGCAATGTTCATATGTCCTAACCTCCCTGCTGAGCCAGTCTTCTCTGCAGGTGGTGTGGTTTTAAGGACCACAGAGGCAAGTAAGAGAGGAGGGCCTGCAACCAACACATATCTGTTCTGTCAGAGATGAAGGAGCAAGTGTGTCTGGTCATAACTGTAGCTGGCCATTAGCTGGCTGAGTAGCTAGGGGTTTATCTGCTTTTCTTGTAGACTACACGAGGCCACAGTGAGACTATAATGCATGTCACTAGTAGGTAGCCCATGTAGGGATGACATAGTTGTGTCTAGAAGTAGTATAATCTCTACCTTATTAATATTTAAAGTTCACTTGGTCTGTCTCTTTCTATCTAAAGTAGCACTTTCATTTGTTCTTTCCTTTTTATCTAAGATCGACATGTATCCACTTATCCCAGGTTTAATGTCTCATAAGCAAGTTATGTCTACATTTTAGATTCTTATTTTCTATAGCAGACTTGAATAATCATAAATCATCCAGCAAACACATTACAACCAGTCCCAACGAGCAAGCACTTAGATCAGGGTTGTGATGTCCCACTTACCAGCTAAAGCAGGTCACACAGCCAAGCCCACAGTCAGTGTGGGACAGGTCTACACAAAGGAATGGATACCATAAGCCACGATTCATTGGAACCACTATTCTAATAATATACCACTAACACACTTAGAAAATGGTTGAGCCAGTTGTCAAACTTTCAGCCATCTGTTTCTGGAGTTCACCCACAAAACTGGTGTCCTAAAGGCTGTTAGGAATGGGTTCTTAGTGAATAGCTTTTCCAAACCTGACTTCCCAGGCCCTGCCCCAAGCTCAATGAGTCAGAATCCCTTGTGGGTAAGAGATATAGGAGAGAAGAATTTGAGACTGAAATAACTCTGCAGAGGATTCCAACCCGCACTGGGGATGTAGAGGGTTTCAAAAACAAGAAAGACACAAGTCTTTACACCCAACTTCATTTTCCACAGAGAATTTTTTTTTTTTTTTAAATAGTCTCTACACCCAAGGTGGGGCTTCAACTCACCACCCCAAGATCAGGAGTCACATGCTCTTCTAACTGAGCCAGTCAGGCACCCCTCACAGAGCACATTCTTTTTTTTTAAAAAAGATTTTATTTATTTATTTGACAGAGAGAGACACAGCGACAGAGGGAACACAAGCAGGGGGAGCGGGAGAGGGAGAAGCAGGCTCCCCGCTGAGCAGGGAGCCCGATGTGGGGCTCAATCCCAGGATCTTGGGATCATGACCTGAGCCAAGGCAGACGCTTAACGACTGAGCCACCCAGGCACCCCCACAGAGCACATTCTTAACTGCCACAAAGAGGCTGCCTTGAAATTTTTTAAAAAAATGCTTTTCATGGTTAAGTCAGAGTAGTGGTTCTCAAACTTTTGAGTGCATCAGTATTAACTGGAGGGCTTGTTAAAACACAGATGAGTGGGCCCAAACCCCAGCTTCTGATTCAAGGGGTCTAGAGCAGAGTAGGCCAATTTTCAGGCTTAACAAGCTCTGCTGTCCGGGAACCACACTTTGAGAACCGCTAAGTTAGAGCAATAGAATGATTTAGCGGTAACATTCCTCCCCCGACTCACATTTATATATTTATTGCACTTACATGATTATAGCACATTTACTACATACCAGGTGTTGGGCTGGTGCAGCAGCGTATAAGATAAGGGTAAGATTTCGATCTTGATTGCGCTTGAGCAGATTTACTCTCTAAGTGGATCTACTCTCTAAGGCAGGAAGCCTAAGTGTCATTAGGTTCAGATAAAGGGGAGATCTTCCTTAGGAGGAGATAAAGAAAGGAAAGGTTGGAGTAGGAGACCGTTGAGCTTGGCCCTGAAAGAGGTCTAGGACCTGGACCCGTGCAAACAATGCAGAATCGCAAAATTCTTTTCGCCTTGGCAAAGAGAAAAACAAAAACCAAAAACAAACCTTGGCAAACAGCCGGAAAAGATCTGTGACATTCTTGCTCCAGCATTAACGGCCGGCAAGCTGCTGGCCATCAGAACGAGGAAGCGGATTTTCGGTGTCAAGGCCTCATTCTCAAACCCCTGGCCTCGCCCTCCCTTTGGAGCTCCCAGGGCGGGTGCCTCAAAGACCGGAGTGCCTGGCCGAAGCCACGGTGGGGGCTTCAATCCCCAAAAGCCTGATCAGGACGCTGCCCGCCCCCCCCCCCGAGGTTCCGAGCGGTTGGAGGCCCGTGCCGGGCGAGGGGGGGCCGTACGCTGGAGCACCGCTCGGAACAAGCTCCAGGTTTAGGCCTGGCGCTTGGGCGCAGCGGTGGCAGGGGCACTACCGCCAAGCAAGAAATCCAGAGCTGTTTTTTTCCCGTTCCCTGCGTTGGACTTAAAGGCGGCGCTAGCACCTGGATGCGCGCCGTCAGTTCCCCCACCATCACGCATCGGAGGAGGTGTGGACTCCTGTACACGCCCCCAAGTCCGGTGGGAGCACGGCCGGGGAGCTCGGGGACCGCGCTTGCGCGGCCCCGCCCCGTCCCTTCGCCCCGCCCTCTTAGCCTCTATACCGCCGCTAGGGGTAGCGGCGGCGGCTGTGGCCTGGAGCGCGGCCGCTTTGAGGGCGCGGGAGCCCTGCAGAGCGCCGACGAGGGCAGGCAAGAGGGTGGGAAAGCCGTCAGGAGCGGAGGGCGGCGCCGAAGGAGGGCAGTGCGTGGCTGACTCATCCCTCTGGAAGATCAAACTGACAGACAAACCCCAGCCGCCCGCCCGCGCCGCCCCTCCTCAGCCGGGAGGCGCCCGCCCGCACCGCCCACCCGCCCTCTCCCCGCCCGGCAGCCTCACAGAAAGTTTTTCTCGTCGGAGGGACCGGAGCCGCCGCGGGCCTTTCGGAAGGGAAGGTGGACAGAAAAGGAGGCGATCGACGCGCGGGCCCGGCGAGTGCATGGTGCCCGGTGCCTCTGCTGCCAGTCAGGAGGACATTGGGGCGGGGTCCGGCTGAGCCTACCTCCTTCTTCCCCCTGCCTCGCCAGAAATCGCCCTCCCGGACTGCCGCGGGGGTCCCCGCTCCTCAGCCCGCCATGTCCCGGCTGCTGCCGCTGCTGAGGAGCCGGACCGCGCGCAGCCTGAGGCCCGGCCCGGCCGCCGCCGCCGCCGCCGCGCCCCGCCCGCCGTCCTGGTGCTGCTGCGGGCGGGGGCTGCTGGCGCTCGCGGCCCCTGGCGGCTTCCGAGGGCTGGGCACCCACCCCAAGAAGGAGCCCATAGAGGCGCTGAACACGGCGCAGGGCGCGCGCGACTTCATTTACAGCCTGCACTCCACCGAGCGGAGCTGCCTGCTCAAGGAGCTGCACCGCTTCGAGTCCATTGCCATCGCCCAAGGTAAGAGGTCGTGAGGGGCGAGCCTGGGGGCCCGGCGTCCCCACCCCCCGTCGGCGGCCCGGGAGCCCTCCCGCCCCTCGGCCCGGGACCCCTGCTGCCGGTTCCCCTCGCCCGCCTGGCCTCGCGCCTGGGACGTCCGGCCCGGGGGCGGGGGTCGGTGTGTGTACTGTGGCGGGGGGGGGAATCTTCCGCGCCTCCTGAGTGTCCCCTGGGCAGGTAGGACAGGCGCGGATCGTGCCAGGCAGCCCGGACCGACGCTTGGTTGGTTCCTCCCCAGCCTCAGAAGCCGAGCTTCAGCCCAGATTGTCAACCGATACTGTTTTGATTGTGCTTTGATTTGTTGTGTGCCTCCCCTCCCCAGCCCTCCTGTCCCCCTAAGCCCTTGCTGCTTTCTTGTGAACGTGCAGCCTCGCAGGTGGCATGCCTTGCCTGCTTGAAAAGTGCCGCAAACCCGAGAGGCAGGAAGGAACTTTCTTGAAAGGTTATCAAACCAAGATGTATGGGTGTCCAAAAGAAGGGTAGTGCTTCCTACTTAGCTGTGTGTTTGCACGCACATCTAGGTGTATTAAATTAAGCAGCCAAAGGAAACATTTTCCTGGGAAATGGAAAGAATGGATCAAACCAGCAACAGCAGATGCGTAACTTGCAAGCCTCTATAGGTTCGGCGCTGCACAAGTTAAACTCCAGTTTTTGTTGTTTCCCCAGAGGTTGAAAGAATGAAGTAATTAAGAAGGTATTTTTCTGGGAATCTGGCTCTACAGTGAAAAGCAGACTTCTGCTTTAAAGTAATGTGGAGCGGTGAAAGCAAGGCTATTTTTAAGCGAACATGTTAAAATAGGATATTTTTAAAAACCAGTGCAGAATGCTGTAGGTCTGAATTTGAGCGCAGGTGAAAAAGCTAAGAATTCAGAAAATCAAAAGGATGAAAGAAGTAAGTGATTAATTCCACCTTAAAATATTTTTGCAGTTTAAATACAATAGTACAGACGAAATACATAAAACAGACAAGATACATTGCTATTTTATATTACATTCTGATGTGTTTGACATTTTTTAAAAAGTTTACCTCCCTTCCCAAAGTTGATAGGTACATAAACATCCCACAGATTCCTCAGTTTAGAGTACATTGATCGGAACGTGGCATTTGATTTGCCAGAGGCACTTGAAAGTGTTTCTTTGGCCTACGTACAGGAATGAAGGAAGGTCATATAAGCATGACTTATCTATACTGCTTCTTCGGAAACTTTTTCTTGCTTTGCCTTTGCACTGCTTTTTTTTCCTACGTTCAGGGAATCGTGGACCAATTTATAGTACTGGATATTCCAGATATTGTCTGTGCACAATGCTTTTAAGGAAAAATGTAGCATCATAATCAGTTATTAAGTGTGTAATCATGCTGTTATATGAAGCAATAATCATATTTGTAAGATGTGTTTGTACTCACTTTGTGGTTTTAAAATACTCAGTTCTGAAAATGTGCTCCTGGGAAAACAATATAGCCAGTCATATATGCTGTAACATTAATTTTAGAAACGTCTTCTCTATGGACAACACTATTTGAACATACGTTAGGCCTTGTCTAAGTAATTTCTTGGAAATTCCTCTGCATTAACATTGTTACAAGTTTGCAGGGCGCTATTAATATAATTTTGACAGTTCTTGAAAAGCACATCCTGTGATACAACTGGATAAATTTTACCTCCTATTTTATTGTTTTAGCACATGGCAGTAGTATTGCAGTAGAGAGGCTGCATTTTCCACTGAAGATAATTTTAAATTTGACATGGTTTTTTTTGTTTTTTTGTTTTAGATTTTATTTATTTATTTGACAGAGAGAGACACAGTGAGAGAGGGAACACAAGCAGGGGAGTGGGAGAGGGAGAAGCAGGCTTCCCGCCGAGCAGGGAGCCGGATGTGGAGCTTGATCCCAGGACCCTGGGATCAGGAGCTGAGCCAAAGGCAGATGCTTAACAACTGAGCCACCCAGGCGCCCCTTAACATGGTCTTAAATATTTTGGAAAGGACCTATAAACTTCAGTCAGTGGAGATCAGTTAGCATCAATTAAACTTTGTAAGTATGTAAGTTATATGAGAGAGAAGTTAATAATTTGTCTTCTTTATTCAAGATAAACTGGCGAAAATATAGGAAACAATGTGGTAGTCAAATGCTTATCTCCTCCTATTCATAAGCTAAAGAACTTGAGAGTTTAAATCAACTATTTTAGCCAGTATTGATGACTAAATTATTGCCCGTTGACTCAAATGATACTTACTGATGCTGCTGCTTTAATTTTTAGTACAGTCTTCATGTTCCTTGTTGTGTTCATTATCAATATATACAGTTCCTATGGAGATCACTGAAATCATTTTTCCCCCAATCAGATAAATGAAAAGCTCCCATGTTTTTCTTTTATTGTTGCTTTTTGTATGTTTTTAAATACCCAACTCATGTACTAAATGTATGGGTACTAAATGCATTTTCTAATTAAATAAATTATGTTAAAAGGACTGTTTCATATTATAGGAAATCTTATGTGTTCTTGGAAAGTGGGCTTGTATGAGCAAAGGAAGTGTTCTGGATTTGGTGTGGAAACATCACAGGAAAAAAATCATCTATGCTTTGATATGCCTGTGAAATCTATTGTTGAAATTTGGTACTTTGCCCTTATCTTTCTCTTCTGTGTTTTATCAGTAGGCATGTGATATGGTCTGTGACAAGATAAAGCTGTGACAAGATTCTAAATAGATAAGGCAAGCTTTGTGGGATGTCTTATCGTAGTTAAATAGGATATTGTGATTTTTAAATTACAAAATGATTTCCTTCCCAATTTTAAAAAAGTTGATATTGTGTTCCCAGTGTACCTATTCAACCTGATCTCTGTTCTTCCAGAAACAGTCCGTATTTTACTGATAGTACTTTGTTGGCTCCTTGATTTTATTTTATTTTATTTTATTTTATTTTATTTTTTTTAAAAGATTTTATTTATTTATTTGAGAGAGAGAGAATGAGAGATAGAGAGCACGAGAAGGAAGAGGGTCAGAGGGAGAAGCAGACTCCCCGCTGAGCAGGGAGCCCGATGTGGGACTCGATCCCGGGACTCCAGGATCATGACCTGAGCCGAAGGCAGTCGTTTAACCAACTGAGCCACCCAGGCGCCCGGCTCCTTGATTTTAGAAGTAGAACTGGCAAACTGATATTACAGTTGCCTTTCAATTTTAGCCAAGATTTTAAAAACAAATTTTTCTCCCAATTTTTGCAATTACTATTTCTATTTATAATTTTCTTTTACTTTTAAAACATGAGTTTGGTTTTTGAAGACTAGGCAATGCTTATTGTATTAGTTATACATTGCTGTATAACAAATTGCCCTAAAACATAGTGGCTTAAAACAAACATGTTTTATTTCAGTTTCTGGGGATTAGGAATCTTGTATAGGCTTAATAGGATGTTTCTGACTCAGGGTATTTCACAAAGTTGTTTGAATCAAGCTTTTAGCTGGGGCTGCATCAGCTGAAGTCTTGCCTGGGGCTGGAGGGTCCATTTTCAAACAGGCTCACTCACATGGTTGTTGGCTGGAAGTCTCATTTCTTGCCATGTGGGCCTCTCTACATGGCTGCCTAAGTGTTCTCAACATGGTAGCTGGCTTCCCCCAGAATGAGTGATAGGAGAGAGTGAGAGCCTAAGCTGGAAGCCACAATATGTTATAACCCAATCTTAGAAGAGATAGTCCATTTCTTTTGTCCTGGTACATGGCAGGAGGGTACCTTACAGGGTGCAAATACCAGGAGGTAGAAATCATTGGGGGCCATGTTGGAGGCTACCTTCCACATTTACTTAAAAGTGTTAAAATTAATGTTTATTGGAGAATTACACAGAGGGATAATAGTTGGCTTTGGGGGAGACACAATGAAGGATATGATTTGAAAAAGGGAGGTTCTGAGGGAATATTTTTGTTAAATGTGTACTCCAGGTATTTTTAAAATGAGATTTCTTTTACAGATAGTAGACAAGAAATGTATGGTGGTGAACAGAGTAGTTTTTCTATTAATGTTAGATCTTAATGAGCTTGCATTTTTTTCTGTTTCTCTGTGACAGTGGTAATTGTGTACATTTTAAATTGCCTTTTTTGCCATTTATCTACATCTGAATAGATATACCATATAATTCTAAACTTAATCTTGTAATTTTCACCTTTTGTGATTATTTATTTAAGGTAGGATGTTTCATTTTGAGAACTTGCCATATACAACAAGAGGCCTTTGGCAAAATGAAAGGCTGGAAGATTAAAATCTGATATTCATGTGGATACTGAGAATACTTAAAGACAAGACTTTTCATGGAGTTCTGATTCACTAGGGATCTTCGACTCTTTAACAAGAGTATCCTCATTTTTCTCAGCCCATGGTAATGTGAGAAAGTAGCAACTCAGTTAAGCTATTGGTTTCTGGGATGAATTGGAGAAAATTGTGCCTTTGCTCAAAGAGAATAAAAAGAGAGCAAGAAAAACATTTCATATTCCAAATTAAGATATGTGAATACAGATATTTCAGGGCCTTGGTTGAAATAGTAAAAGAGGAATAAGGTGTAGCTCACACTAGAACCAGCAAGAGAGAGAGGAAGAACCAGGATGAGGGTATGAAGGATGAACTGAGTCAGGAAGAATAAGAGATCTTTAATAAGCTGAGCGCTTTTTTTTTTTTTTTTAAGCTGAGAGCTTCTGTATCATTGGGCCCACATAAGTTAAATGAAGCTTTGCTATAGTCAGTTATTTTACCAATATGGAAAGAACCTAATTATAGCAGTATATTCCAACAAACTTAATTCTGAGTATTTTAGAGTTACTGGCATAGTGGAGTAGTCTTATTACTAAGGATTACTGCCAGCAGAAAATAGCTAACACAAATAGGATTTTTTCCTTCCATTATAAAATGGCTATGTACTGTTTAAAAATCTCTGATCGTCACTCACGTATACCTTGATATTCACAGTCATGTGTGAC